CTGTGGCAGGGTCATCAGGTCGTCGTTGTCGTTGCCGTCGTGGTCGTCGTCGTGGTCGCGTCGTCGTCCTTCTGGGTCGGCGGCACTGACAGTAAGGCCTTCACAATCAAGGAAGCGAAAGAGGCGGCATCTCGGGGCCCTAACGGGGCACGGGCCACAGGCATCTGGAACCTCAACCCTCCTCCCTACTCCTCCTTTGGGAGCTTCAGTTCAACTCCTCCTCCTCCTTCTCTTCCTTCTTCTCCTCCTCCTCCTCCTCCTCCTCCTTTCCTTCGTCCCTCTCTTCGCCCCACGCGCGAGCCCAGGGAGGGACTGGGGAGCCCGAAGATGGCGCAACACCTCCAAGACACACTTCCCTCTGGACCCTTTCCCAAATAACCGATGCCTCGAATTCCCTCCAGCACGGGGCCCCCCAAGTCCCGGCCCTGTTCCCCAGGGGCCTACATTTTCATGCCCAGTGTATTGGTTGACGGCCCAGGGGCCCAATGGAAGACCCCCATCGGCCGAAAACGGAGAAACAGTGCTCGGCGGCGAGCGAGGGGGGGAAGTGAGAAGGAGAAGGCCTTCTCAGAAGGGGGCGGGACTTCTCTTTGGACGCCCGAAATGGGTACTGAAAGAGTGGGCACTATGCCCAACAACAAATGTTGTCCCAAGCCAACAGCGGCCGCTGTTGGACAGGCGACCTTCTGTCTCGAATGGACACAGGCTGCGGCGGCGCGGACAGCGAGTCCTGTTCAAAATGAACAGGAATTGTTGTTGGGCATTTTACCCATTCTTTCGGCACCCATTTCGGGCGTCCAGATTCTCAGACCCCTCGCGCCTCCTGAGAAGTTCCCTGTGCTCTTGGGGAAGGCTTGGACAACCTCTCAGAAGGAGGCCGGGGGGGCCTCCGAGTCTTCCGAGGAGGCATTCTCCTTCTCACTTCTCCCCCTCGCTCGCCGCCGAGAAGAGCAGTAGGAGGAGGAGAAGTAGGAGGAAGCGGAGAAGGAAGAGGAGGCTCGCCGCCGAAGCACCTCCTGAAAAGCGTAAACTGCGCAACTCAAGCTGTACGTGCGGGAGGCCGTGCGGGAGACCATGCCAGCACGGGGCGCCACGCGCCACCTGCCACCGGGGCCTGGAGGAGCTCACGGGTGCTCCGAACCGAAACAACAGACGAGCTTGCTCTGGTGGGGAGCGAGGAGCAGGGGGGAACATGGGGACACAGCACAGAGACGAGCCACGACTGATCTGATACCCCGCCAAGCTGCTTCGGAAAGCGCGTTCTCCTTTGTTGGCTTGAGAACAGGCTTTCTGTCGCTCCCCGTCGTTCCCCATATAACTGAACACAGCAACAAGCCAGCTTGTTCTCTGATGGGGGACGAAAGCTTCTTCTGGTGGGCAACGACAGTCTCTGGGGACTGGCTCGGGGGGGGGGAACAATGGGCTGGGATTGGCGATACACCGTCGGTTGACCGGCGAGAAAAGCCCCAGATGGCGAATCCGCACGCTCCTGGGCTGGGTGGGCGGCTGGGCCCCCCTCGGCGATGAATGGGCGATCGGGGGGCCGCTGCGTCCCTTCCCGAGCCCATCCCCGCCCACCGCTGCCCCTGAGTTCGGGGAACATGGGTGTTGCTTTTCGATGCGTTGGAGGTCTGGCGACGACGGCGACGACGACAGCGACGACGAGGACGAGCGGACGGCCTGTGCCGCGCGGCGCCTTTGACTCGGGGGCTGCGGCGCGCGGTTCCAACGACCGCCCCGCACGGCGGAACGGGCGCCTCGCGGAGCTCCTCCTGCTGCCCCCTCCCTCCATCCGTCGCTCCGTCCCTCCCTCGTCCTCCTCCTCCTCCTCCTCCTCCTCCTCCTCCTCCTCCTCCTCCTCCTCCTCCTCCCCCTACTGTTGCTCTCCTCCTCCTCCTCCTCCTCCTCTCAACCCCTTCCCCCCCTCCCTCTTCTCCTCCTCCGCCTCCTCTTCTCCTCCCTGTTCCCCTCCTCCTTCCCCCCCTCCCTCTTCCCCTCCTCCCTCCGCCAACAGTTCTCTTTCTCCAGCTCTGCAGGCGTCAAACAAGCCACCCCCACGCCCGTTGACCTGCTCCTCGGTGAAGTCGGCGTGGGGGGATGCCACGCCGCTCTTTTTTCTCCCTCGTTCCTGGTTGGCGGTGGGTTGGCTCGTTGGTTGGCTGCTTGTCGGCGACTTCGGGGGCGCGTCGGTGGAGCGTCTGGTCGTCCTCCAATTGGCTCTCTGCCGAGGCGTGCCCAGCCTCCTCCTCCTCCTCCTTCCCCTTCTCCTCCTCCTCCTCCAGCTCCTCCCCCTCCTCCTTCGTCTCCGCCCAAATTCAACAATCTGAATATTAATCCCCATCCTCCAATGTTGTCCAGCAGATATCCCGCCCCCTCCGAGCGCTTTCTTTTATACACAGGCTTCAATCCATTGATTTTCTCACTCGCCCCGGCGAGGGCCAATTTTCAGGATCCGAGTCTTGCTTCATTGTGGTCTCCCCCTATCGTTTCCCATCCTCCGCCTTCCCCTGTTCATCATGCTCCTCCCGCTGCTTCCGCACTAGTTCCTGCTGCTGCCTCTGCTTCCCTTCTTATCTCGCCACAGCGCGCGCCTCTTTTCTGAACCCGAATATTTCTTGATAGTTGTCGCCCCCTTATCCCCCCTCCTCCACCTTCCCCTGGCTCTCCGTTCCCTCCCGATCCTTCCGCTTGAATTCCTGCCTCTGCTATTCGTCATCATCCTTTTCCTCCCGCTCATCCACCTCCTCACCCGCCACCTCCTCCTCCTCCCCCTGTGCACGCAGCTCCCTTTTTTCCCGATTGCGCATAACACGACGTGGTCTTCCTGTCTGAGTCGCAGGTCCGCTACGACACCCGTCCGCGGATAGAGAAAGCTCAGCACCATGTGAAGGGATGGGGGAACATATAGGATGCCAGACGAGGCGCGGGCGCACCCCGCTTGTCCTCCACCCTTTCTCCTCCGCCGCCTCCCCCTCCTCCTCCTCCTCCCTCCTCCTGCTCGGGCGGGAGGGCGGACCCGGGCGGGGCGCGGCGCTCGGGGAGAGCGGGGCGGCGGCGAGTCGCCCTACAGCAGGGGCCCGACCACGAGAGACCGTCCACAAGAAACCCAACCCTGAGACCCCAGGACGTCCCTTGATTCTTGGCGCGGGAACGCCACGCCCTCCATGGCAAAACCGTCGAAGCCCACGAAACCCAGGGCGCGGCCTGGTGTTTTTGGCACGGAGGCGCTGGAAAACCATCGAAGCCCTGGAGGCGAGCAAGGCGTTTCTTGTTTCTTGGCATGGGTCTCTGCTCTACCCCTGGGGGCAACGACTCACGACGTCGCCGACGTCGTCGGCGGCATCGCCGTGGAGGGCTCTGGGTGTCCGGGCCCTGCTCCGGGGAGCGCTTTCGTTGTGGCCACGGCTGGCCGCCACGGCGGAGGGCGTGCATCTCGGGGAGATGGCCGGGGGGGACTCCCCGGGAGGGGTCCCGGGCCCGGTTTTGAGCGGACAAGGTAGGTTTAGGTCGGGCATGTCCTCTTACGGGCGGATTTTGGGCGAGAAAGTCAAAGTACTCAAGAAATGCCCCCAAATGGTCAAACATAGTCAACGAATCGTATCAAGACTATGTTGTGACTGTTTTTGAAGTTTCCTCCTATAGAGGGACACGCCGCACTTAACTGTAGGTTCGCGCGGCGCTCTAACCAGAAACGTTTTGGCAGTCCGCGCGGATTTCTTGGATCCGCGCTGGATCCCCCAGGGCTGCGCCGGGGTCGCCGCCAGGGGGGCCCAGGCGCCGACGCAAGAAATCCGCAAGGAGCTCCGCAAGTTATGTTTCTGCAGCGTTGCCCTCTCCGAGTTTGAGCGCATGCTGGTCGCCGTCGCCCTGCCTGCGCCACCTCAGGATGGGGTGTATTCAGGATGGGGAGGGATCCACGCCTGGACTGTCATTGTTTGAGGCACCTCGTGCTCAGGACCCCGTCCCTCTTTGAACCACCGCTCCGTCCCCATGTCTCTCTACGAAATTAGCTCCTCCTCGTCGAGCCCGACCGCACGTGCCGGTAAGGCGGGCGGAATGCGTTGGTTAGCTTGCAGCCCTCTTCTCCATGCGTGGTGGGCCTGGATCTTGAGGTCTCCAACGGTTGCACGGATGGAGGGCAGTTTGTTTTCAAGATGTGGATCTCGCCTTCGCGCCAAATGCATTCGAGTGAAAATCGTCCAACCATTACACAGCTGGAGGGCGGCGAACAATGACAATGAACAGACCTTTCGGCGGTCCGCGCGGACTTCTTGGATAGGCGATGGATCCCCCTGCCCGGCCCGGCGCGCGGAGCGCGCCAAAGATGGCGCCGGAAGAACCGCCAGGGGCCCTGGCGCCGACCGAAGAAATCCGTGATGATCTCCGACATAATGTAACTACACCCTGCGAAATACTTAAGAAATCATGGGTTAAGAAATTCATAGTCTCAGAACTTGAATAAAAACCCAACATTTTTATTAAAATCTTAGGATTTACATTGAAACGTTAAGAATAATCGAGACTCTGGCCGAAAACTTGGGTTTTCTTAAGCATCGCCTAAGGTGTATGTTGATGTGCTTTGGTCTTCTTCGAGCTCCCCGCCTCCTGCTTCCACCCTCGCCCTCTCCGCTTCCTCGCCAAATCTCTCCCCCCCTCTCCCTCCCTCCCTCCTCATCCCCCTCCCCCTTTCCACCTCTCCCTCGCTCCCCCTGCACCTCCGCTTCCTCCTCCACCTCCTCCTCCTCCTCCTCCTCCTCCTCCTCCTCCTCCGCTTCCCCCTCCTGGAAGTACACGTGTAAGTAGTGTATGTAAATCCCAGGTCGCTGGCGCTTCACGTTGCTGCTCGAAGCGCGATCATTTACCTTCGCGCTCTCGCGCAGGCCTCCTGAGGATGAGCAACTCTAGAGGTGATTATGACCCTCTTCTTCTCTTCACCTCTCCTTCCTTCTGTCTGTATCTTTCTCTCTCTTTCTCTCGCTCTCTCCCTCTTTCTTTCCCTCCCCTCCCCCCGCACAGAGAAACTGCTCACATCATGGTGTCGATCAAGGCGCTCTGCATGCCCTGGCCGGGCGCCTGGAGCTTGAAGATGCTCTCGATCACCCCAATCTCGGTGGCAGTGGTGTCCATGCCGCAGAACGCGGCCCAGTCGTTCGCCACCACGCCCGCCCCTACGACGTCGTTGCCGCGGTTCACGGTGCCCGCCGTCAGGGGAATCTGTATCAGCTGCGACAGCTCCTCCATGTCCTGCATCGGCGTCCGGGCGTGCACCAGACCACCCTGGTTGGTGAGCACGCAGTAGCTGCCCACCAGCACGTTCTGCGCCACGGTGGCGCGGAACACCTCCACCTTCGAGGGACAAGCGATGGCATAACATCAACTTTTGGAGGTCTGCGCGGAGTTCTCGGATCGGCGCTGGACCCCCTCCTTCCTGGCGCGCGGGGCGCTCCAAGGGGGGCGCTGGAGGCGCCGCCAGTAGGCTCCAGCGCTGATCCGAGAAATCTACACGGATCTCCAGACATGCTTGTTTATGCAATTGTTAGAGGCCTCTTAGATGGGGTCCGAGTAGATGGGTCGAAGGATCTCGCCGCATCGCCAATGCATCGCCAACGCATCGCCGATGTATCGGCGATGCATCGGCGACGTCGGCGTGGAGAAAATTGGGTCCCACATCGAGCCGCATCGCTGATGCATCGCCGATGCATCGGCGATGCGGCGCGATCCTCCGACCCCATCTACTCCGACGCCATCGGGGAGGCCTATATGTACGCAGTTGTCCCTCCCTCGACACCTGGAGCGTGTCCGCGATGACCTCCTCCGTCTCCCGGTCCAGGTCGGTGTGCACGAGGGCCACGTAGTCGTTGCAGGCAATGCAATTCCCGAGCGCGGAGAGGCGCTCCTCTTGGAGGGGCCAGCGGGTCCGCACTGTCTGGGACATCAGAAGATCGGTCGAGCTCAGAATCGGGCCCCGGACCCCTCTCGGGAGCGGCCAAGAGGGGGGGTTCCAGGAGGGGTGCAAATCATGACCGGCGGCATGTGCGCGGCCCAGCGGGGGGGCCAGGGACGTAATAAAATAAGAAGAGGCGCCATGAAATCTGGGGAAATATCATGGTCCACGCACCCCCCCCTAGTCATCACCCCCCTCTTTTCCGCCCCCGAACCTCCCGGGATCCGCGCGGTTCTTTACCCCGCACCGAGTTTCGGCCCCCAGAGGCCAAACAGGGCAAAAGACCATCCCGAACCAAGGCGTCTCGAGCCTGGCCCGCCCTTCCTGCCCGGAACCAGTGCTTGGCCGCCTCGGACCCCCAGACGGCTCCGACGCTCCTCCACCTTCTGGACCTTCACGCTCTCTGGCAGCGTGTTCCGGAGCTGCTGCAGCTCCTGGTCGGTGGTGATGCTGGGCACCAGCAGGCCGTTCTTGTTGCCTGCCGTCAGCCTGCCGACGATCCGGGTGCCCCCGATGGTGCAGTGCACGACGGGCATGTGCCTGGCGAGCTCGGCCTCGAACACGCTGTAGAAGTTCTCCGACCCCCCGAGGGCGACCAGGCAGTAGGAATTGGTGAGGGTGGAAAACACACCTCTGGACGCCCGAAGTGGGTACTGAAGAAGAAGTGGGCACGATGCCCAACAGCGCACGTTGTCCAAAACCGACAGCGGCCGCTGTTGAGCAGGCGACCTTTTGCCTCAGGCGGACAACACCCGCGGCGAGGCCGACAACGACCCCTGCTCAAAATGGAAAGGAGCTGCTGTCCGTCTTCGTTATCCCTCTTCCGTACAGTCAAGACGAATGTTAAGGATGCGGGGTAAGGATGCAAGGGCCTTGGAGGGTCATGTTGGAGCTTTCGAGCGGGGCTGGCCAGCGAAAGTGGTCAAGGATGGGCCGAAGGGGCACGCATGCAAGGGCTGCCTTGGAATGCCGCTCGCCCATACTATGCGACTCGGCTGTACCGAACACCGATAGGGGCAAGGATGCAGGGGCAGCCTCCGAAAGTCCCACCAGCCCTCTGGGCGTAGGTGGTCTAGAGCAGATCCTCTTCCACCCCTCCCTCTTCCCCCTTGGGGAGGGGTTTACCCCTCCCCCTACCCCCTCCCCTGGACCTGGACGGGGGGGGCCGCGGGTAGTTAGAGCGTCCCAGATGGCCCAAGACGGCTCCAAGAGCGCCTCAGAGAACCCAAGATGAGCTCCAAGATGGCTCAAGATAGCGCAAGATCGCTCGAGATGGCTCCTAAGATGGTTCCAAGAAGCCCAAAGACGGCCCCAAGATAACTCCAAGTGGCCAAACAGCTCCCCAAGGAGGCCCCGAAGAGGCCAAAATCGTCCCAAAACCTAAGGAAAATCAATGATTTTTGCTTTCTCGCCTTTTCGCTTCCGATGGCCATCCGAGGCCTGGAGATGGTTCCAAGATGGCCCAAGAGGGCCCCAAGAGAGCCCCAAAAGAGCCCCAAGACGGCCCCAAGAGCGCCCAAGAGCACTCCAAGAGCGTTCCAAGAGGGGTCCAAGAGGCGATTTTAGGGGCTTCCGAGGGGGGACGCTAATTAAACCCCCCCTCTTGTTTGATCGATCTCCTCCAAGATGGCCCCAAGAAGCGCCCAGGAAGCCCCAAGAGGTCCCAAGATGGCCCCAAAATGGCCCCAAGAGGCCCCCAAGAGGCCCCCCGGAGGCCCCCAAGAGACCCCCAAGAGGCCCCAAGAGCCCCCCCAGATGCACCCAAGATGCTCCAAGAGGCCTCGGCGAGAATGCCTAATCATTGATTCTACACAGGTTTTAGCCACATGGAGGCCTCTTGGGGGGGGGCACGGATTAAGATGACTCCAAGAGCGTCTGGGAGAGCCCAAAATGACCTCCAAGATGGCTCAAGATATCCCAAGATGTCTCATAATGGCTTCCTCTGTGTGCTGCCCACTTCTCTGATCGAGGCAATTCCTCTGGGCATCGTTTCTGGATGGGCTGGTGGGGATTCGCGAAGCGACAACAATTGCTCATCTCTACTGTGCGACTTGACTGTGCCGAACACCGATTTCGCTGCTGCTCTCGAACGCGGAGCGCACCGCCATGCGCCCAGACGAGGGCGGCTTGCAGGCGTGAGGCTCGCGCGGCGACGGTCGGGTCCCTGCGCCCTGCCCCTCGGCCACTGCTCGATGCCAAAATGGCTTCAGAGAGGCGCCACGGGCGCAGGGACCAAGGAGCGCGCGCGCGAGGGGAGGAGAAGGGGGAAGGAGGAGGAGAAGGAGGAGGAGGAGGAGGAAGAGGAGGAGAAGGAGGAAGAGGAGGAAGAGGAGGAGGAGGAGGAGGAGGAGGAGGAGGAGCTCATATGCCTGCTACCTGCTGTCACAGAGGCTGTGCAGCACCCCGGTCAACTTGTACAGCCAGACTTGGCAACGGGGGAAAACTTTGGATACCAAATTTTACCCTTGCAGCACCCCCTCCGCCCCCGCAGGAAAGATTCACTGAAGGAGGAGCAGAACCGATGATAGGGGAGATGAGAAGGGGGGTGCATGGAGTTCGGCCGCGTCCGACTGGGAGTTAAGGGTTTCTGGATGGGCTCGTGAGGATGCGTGGAAATCAAGAATTTGTCATCTTTGCCGACGCACTCCACCAACAATTGACCCTAACCATGATGCCCCGTCGGCTCGCTTTCTACTCATCCGAACAACCCGCGCCATGGACAATTGGGCAAGACCAAACGGCAAAGAGCATTACCCTTTCGATGGGGGCCGTAAATGCAAAGGTCGACATCGAACGAGCTCGAGGTAGTATCCATCACTCCTGAGATGAATTGAGGCCGAGGTCAAGCAGTCAGGATCGGAGCCAGACGTCGTAGTAGAGGTCGATCAGGCCTCTGCGGTTGAGAGCTCCTCGTGACCGATCAGGCCGTTGCGGCCGAAGCCGTAGCTGGTGCACAGCGCGACTCGGATTCGACGACGGCGCACTCACTCACTGTACGTGCTCCTGCGCGCGCACTTCACTTCGCCTGGGATCAAGAGCTCGGAATCAACCGCGCCCAGCACATGGGCGGCCACGAGTTGCCGAGAAACCGAGAGCCGACCGAACCGATGACGAAACCGAAACCGATCGAAACCGAAAGGGGGCCTGCAGAACCGAATCAGCCGACCGAAACCGACCGAACGCGAAAACCGAACTGCAGGGTCACAGTGGCGCAGCCAGCCGAAAAAAACATTTTTTCGGGGCCCGAAAAATTGTTTCTCCCCGGGGCCTTCGGCGCCTCCAGGGAGCCTCCAGAGCCCCCGAAAACATTTTTCGAGGCCTGAAAAATTGTTTCTTTCCCCAGGGCCTTCGGCGCCTCCAGGGAGCCTCTGGAGCTCCGGAAAGCCATAAAAGCATTTTTCGAGACCGAAAAAATTGTTTTCCTCTCCCCCGGGGCCTTCGGCGCCTCCAGGGAGCCTCCAGAGGCCCTGGAAGCCGAAAAACATTTTTCGGGGGCTGAAAAATTGTTTTTCTCTCCCCGGAGCCTTCGGCGCCTCCATGGAGCCTCCGGAACCCCCACGAGCCGAAAAAACATTTTTCGAGGCCAGAAAAAATGTTGTCTCTCCCCGCGGGTCCTTCGGCGCCTCCGGGGAGCCTCCGGAATTCCCGTGGAAGAAGCGTTTTCGAAGCCTGGCCACGGGGCAAGATTTATCCGGCCAACGATGCGCCACTGCGCGCATCCGGCCAATCAGCCAACCAACCTCCTTGATCCTGCTCCTGCTCCTCCTCCTCCTGCTCCTCTCCTCCTCCTGCTCCTCCACCTCCTCCTCCTCTTCCTCCTCCCTTTTTCTTCAAAGGGAAAGGCCAAGCGGAATCAGATCGGCGCGAATCCGTGGGCAGCGAAACCGAACTGGAAACCGGCGGCCGATTCGATCCCCTGGGCCGACACGAGGCGCCAGCGAGGCGCCCGCGGCGAAACCGAATCAACCGAAGTAACCGAAGAGGGCGCGACGACGCAGGGACTCCGCAACAACCGAACCGACCGAACCGATCGATTCTAACCGACACCGACGCAACCGAACCGACCGGTTCGCGGCCGTCCTTGCAGCACCGCCAAGACGAAGCCGTCCGCGCCAACGCGCCCGCGGGGCGGCTGGGCGGCACCCTGCGAGGCCCCCCCCCCCCCGCGCGGCCTCGGAGCAGCCGAGCGTGAGCTCGCGAGCGACGCCCCCACCCCGCGAGAGGGCACGCAGTGCACGGAGGGCCACGGGAACGGGCGGCCGAACGCCACCCGGGGCGGCACCTCTCGCGGGGGGGGGGCGACCTGCCGATGAGGAGCCGGGGCGCGGCGCCCCGGCTCCTCAGCGGAACGTCGTCTCGACACAGCCGCCGCCCAACCCTCGCGAAGGGGATCGACTACAGGATCGATTCGCCCCAAGCTCGAGTTTCTCGTCATATCTACGACCATTGCACCGAATGCTTGTACATCTACGGAGCAGCCTTCGCATTTCCGTTGATCCAGCTGATAATCAATCTTGGTGCAAGCCAGTTCTGTAGTCGATCCCCTACTTGAGACCCTCGAGGATGCCGCTCTTGCCCTCCAGGACGCGGGCCTGGCGGAGCACCGCGCCTCCGAAGTCGGGGATCAAATCGGGGATCTACTGGCCCGGGTCGATCCAGACCTGGGTCAGTCAGGCTTCGCAGGATCCTGCAGGATCCTGCACCCAAGCCCAGGTCAATGCGACCCTGGCTCTGCAGGATCCTGCAAGATCCTGCGCTCTGACTGAACCCCCGTATGCACTGACCCCGCTGGTCGTCGTCGTCGTCGCCGCCGTCGTCGTCGTCGTCTTCGCCGCCGCCGCCGCCGTCGTCGTCGTCGTCGTCGTCGTCGCCGTCGTCGCCGTCGCCGTGGTCGTCGTCGTCGTCGTCGTAGTCGTCGCCGTCGTCGTCGCCGTCGCCGTCGTCGTCGTCGTCGCCGTCGGCGTCGTCGGCGTCGGTCGTCGGCGTCGTCGTCGGCGTCGTCGTCGTCGTCGGCGTCGTCGTCGTCGTCGCCGTCGCCGTCGTCGTCGTCGTCGCCGTCGCCGTCGTCGTCGTCGTCGTCGTCGTCGTCGTCGTCGCCGTCGGCGTCGTCGTCGCCGTCGCCGTCGTCGTCGCCGTCGCCGTCGCCGTCGCCGTCGCCGTCTTCGCTGCCAGCGCGGAGGGCCGAGCAGGGCTCCGCCGCGGGCCGCTCGCACCGCGCGCACCGCGCCGCTCTCGGGCCGCCCCGCAGCGGCCCCTCGGCGGCTTCTCCGGCGCGCGCCTCTGCCGCGGTCACCTGGGGGCGTGGAAAGGTCCTTCTCTCTCTCGCTCCCGCTCTCGCTCCCTGCCTCTCGATCTCTCCGTCCTTCTCGCTCCCTGTATGTATATATATGTATATATATACATATATATATATACGTTCTTTATATTATTTTTTGTTTTTGTGTCTCTCTCTCTCTCTCTCTCTACGTTTTTTGTTGTTGTTCTCTCTCTGTTTCTCGACGACGGCGACCACGGCGACGACCGAGGAGGAAGAGAACGAACGAGCACGGCGACCGCGAGAACGGCGGCGACGGCGGCGGCGAGATCGGCGGCGACGGCGACACACGCTGGGCGGGGCGAGAGAAGACCCTGGAGGAGGCGATTCGGCCTCGAGGCGCGGGAGAGGAGGACCCTCGAGCAGCCGAGCGACAGGGCGCCCAGCGACCTGGCTCCTCGTCCTTCTCCTCACCTCCCACCTCGTCCTCCTCCTCGTCCTCCTCGTCCGCCTCGTCCGCCTCCTCCTCCTCCTCCTCCTCCTGATCCTCCTCTCCTCCTCCTCCTCCCCCTCCTCCTCTTCCTTCTCCTCCTCCCCCTTCCCCTCCTCCTCCTCCTCCTCCTCCTCCTCCTCCTTCTCGTCCACCTCCTCCTCCTCCTTCTCCACCTCGTCCTCCTCCTCCACCTCGTCCACCTTCTCCACCTCGTCCACCTTCTCCACCTCGTCCTCCTCCTCCACCTCGTCCACCTGCCTCATCTCGTCCACCTCCTTTTCCTCGTCCTCCTCCTCGTCAACGTCGTCCTCCTCCTCCTCCTCCTCCTCCTCCTCCTCCTCCTCCTCCTCCTCCTCCTCCTCCTCCTCCTCTTCATCCTCCCTCCTCCTCTCCTCCTCCTCCTCCTCCTCTCTCCACCTGCTCCTCCTCCTCCTCCTCCTCCTCCTCCTCCTCCTCCTCCTCCTCCTCCTCCTCCTCCTCCCTCCGAGGAGAACCACCACAGGCGTAATTACACGCCCAGCAACGTGAGTGAGAAAGGCCCACCAGTCCGCGAGGCCAGCCGCGTGCTACGAACGTTCGAGCAAAACGCACTCTCGAAACCGACGTGGACTCATGTGCCTACGTGTTCGTCCTGCGCTCGCTCCCGTCCTCCCCCCTTCCTGCCATCCCCACGCCACGAAAGCATATACCCTCCGTCGAATTTAGCATGTGCCTCCGGGGAGGGCGTCGGTGTAGAAGGTCGCTGGCTCTCAGTGGTGATTTACACAGCGCCACCCTTCCCTGGGGCCCATGAGCAATCCAGTAGAGGGTGTCCGTTTTTTTGTTGTGGCGGACTTCCTCCCCTCCCCCCTCCTCTTCTCGGGTCAGAAAAAGAGGGGGCAACGAATCATCCGTGGTTCGCTGGTTTTTCCGGCGCTTCGGGCGCGGCCGAAACGGGCTACATGCTGCAGATCTCGCAGCCCCTCTCCCGTTTGCCTTCCCACCCCCCTCTTGTCCGACCAAGCAGACCCCTCGTGCGCAGGAAACGAGGGCCCGTGTAACTGAAACTTGTCTGCCATCGGGGACGCCTGTCCCGGGGCGGCTGGAGCCTGTAATCATGACCCCCGCCCTGCCACCGCAGGGTACGACTTGTCCAGCCGCCCTGAGGCAGAAGTCCCCGACGGTGGACAAGTTTACCTTACACGGTCCTCCCCCCTAACCCTCGGTCCCCCCCCCGAGGAGACGACGACAACGACTGCGAGAACGACCGCACGAGGAGAACGAGGATCGAGGAGACGGAGGATCTTGAGGCGGAGAAGGACCGATGCCTCCGGGGACCTACAGTCGACGTCCAGAGGCCTCCGCCCTCATCGATATCGACGTCGACGTCGACGTCGACGGCGACGTCGACGTCGTCGTCGTCGTCGACGTCGTCGTCGTCGTCGTCGTCGTCGTCGTCGCCCGGGGCGAAGCCCGGACCGCGCCAGGGGGAGGAGCAGAGGCGGGCAGGCGGGCCCGTCGAGGCGGCCGCGCCGACGCCCCACGAGGGCTTCCCCTCCCGGCCGGGGAGGCCACGGCCACGGCGGCGTGCCAGACTCCGCCGCCCGCTGGAGAGGGGGCGCGCGGACGCGCCGCCTCTCCCCCCCGGCCCCCCCCCCCCCCCCCCCTCCGCTCCTCCGCCCTCGCCCTCGCTCCTCTCCCTCGGCCCCTCCCCCCCCCCCTCCTCCTCCCTCGCTCCTAACCCCCTCCTCCCTCGGCTCCTCCCCCCTCCCCCACCCCTTCGTGACTCTCCCCCTCTCCTCCCTCGCTTCCTCCCCCTCCTCCCTCTCTCCTTCCCTCTACTCCCTCGCGCCTCCCCCTCCTCTTTCCTCCCTCATCCCTTCCCCCCCCCTCCCTTATCCCCCCCGGAGGCCGCTCAACCGCGAGAGAACTGCCAGCGTGGCTTTGCCATGGTGCCTCTGGAGGTCACGGTCGCCATTGGGATGAGGAGGGCTTGGGAAGGAGAGAGGCTTGCCATCGCTCGGGCGTCCATTCCCCGTGCATTTGTCTTTATCGTGCGCGTTTGTTGGCGCGGTGTTCCAGGATGCTCCTCGATGGCCCTCTTCAAGAACAAACGCGCACGTCCGAGCGATGCCCAGGAGGGGGGATGGGGAGGGAGCTGGATCAGGGCGGAGGGGGGGGAGGGAGCAGGATCAGGGATCTGTTGGGCTTGAAAGAACAGGAGATGGGAGCGGACGGCGATAAGGCCCGCGAGTCTGGGAGTAGGGCCACACCGAGAAAATCGGCAGTGGCCCCGCTCCGGGCACGTGCAAGAGCAAAGCAAGCCAAAGGGGCGGAAATTCGGGCAGCTACAACTACATACGGCAGGTTCGTGTCGTGTCGACCCGGGCGTTGGTTCCTGACACCGCGGGGATCGTTCAACCTTGAACGATCGGCCGTCTCCGCAACGTCCGATCGTTCAACATCGATCGATTCTGGGTCGCCGGCGGCGTTCAACCTTGAACGCCCGCGCTAGGGTCGCCGCTGGTCGACACGACGCAAACCTACCGTATAACGATACGACTGGACTCAAAAACGTATCGGCGCCGCGCCGGGGAGCGAGGAGAGGCGGACGGAGGGCGAGGAGAGGACGGAGCGCAGCAGCCGCGGAGGACAGAGGCCCCGTTTGGACGGCCTGGGAAGCCATGTCAAAGCACTCAAGGCCAAACCTCTTGCCCTTTTCCGTGGGGCGACCCTCTCTGGAGTGTTTCGGATGAGGATGCGTAGGAGGAGGAGGAGGAGGAGGAGGAGGAGGAGGAGGAGGAGGAGGAGGAGGAGGAGGAGGAGGAGGAGGAGGAGGAGGAGGGGGAGGAGGAGGAGGAGGAGGAGGAGGAAGAGGAGGACAGCAACAATCCCAGACATCCGGTGGCCAGCCTTCCCCCCGTGCCTGGCCCTAGACGTCTTGTCTCCTCCCCTAACGGCAATTATTCGCCCCAAGCAGCCCTGGGACGCACAATCGCGACCGGAAAGGTAGACCACATCTTTCCGCGGCATTCTTCGAGCCGGATCGATCTGTGTTAACCCCAGGGCCCCAAACAGGCGAAAACGTCCAGTGCGACAAAAACTCGAGCGACCTGGTCTCTGGTGGCGACGACGGCGTCGACGACGACGACGACGACGACGACGTCGATGACGACGTCGACGACGACGACGCCGCCCTCCGCCGCAGCTGGCCGCGGTCTGCCGTGCCAGTGGCCAGGCAGTGGTGTAGGTGGCGACATCCGAACCCTACCCCCACCAACCATCAATTCTCCTGCACCGATGGGGGGCGGGGCCGGGGTTCGGATTCAGCCACGTGCTCGACGCATCCCAAACCCTACAATAGGAACCCGACCACAAGAAACCGTGCACACGAAGCCCAACCCTGAGACCCCGGGGCTTCCGTCGATTTTTTTTTGGCGTGGGAACGTCACGCCCTCCATCGCAAAACCAGCGAAACCCAAGAAACCCAGAGGGCACCCTGGAGGCAAGCAGGGTGCTTCTTGGCATGGGCCTCCACTACACCCCTGTCGCCCGTCGAGCTGCCTGCCTCGTGGATCGGCGAGGGTGTGGGGTCCGGATCTTGCCCCCACTGGGGCCCGCCTCTGGCCGAACACGTCGGCGACGACCACCTGCAGCAGGCTCGCGCGCGCGTGGGTGCCCGCGTCCATGTCGGCGCCTCCCGCCGCGGCTGGGGGGGTGGCCCCCCTCCCCTTTGGCGGTGCGCACGGGGATGCGGCGCGAGACCGGCGCGGCCTTTTCTGACGAGGCGGGCCCCTTTTCAGAGGGCAGGACGCTCTTCTTGCAAGGCCCTCCAAGATGCCCCCTGGCTTGCCGGGTTTGGATAAGCCTCGACCTTGTCCCTATCCCTGGGATCGACAAGCCGAAAGGCGATGACCATCTTAGTGCCACTGTCACACTCTCCCCACTGCCCCCACTGTCTCCACCACTGTCTCACTGTCCCACTGTCCCCGCTGTCTCCACCGCTTTCTAACTGCGCTGTCCCACTGGTCCCACCACTGTCCTTCTGTCCCCCCTGTCCCCGCCACTGTCCCCACTGTACCACTGTCCCATTTTCCCACCACCGTCCTCACAACCGCCCTCACCACTGTCCCGACCACCGCGGTCCCCACCACTGTCCCACTGTCCCCACTGTCCCCACTGTCCCCACCACTGTCCCACTGTCCCCTCACCACCGTCCCCACCACCACCACCACCACCCCCACCTCTGTCCCACTGTCCCCGATGTCCCAACAGCTGTCCCAATGTCCCCACTCTTCCCACCACTGTTCCCACTGTCCCCACCAGTGCCGCCACCACTGTCCTACTGTCCCCACCCTTCCCAACTCTGTCCCCACCACTGTCCCCACCACTCTCCCCACCACTGTCCCACTGTCCCCACTGTCTCCACCACTGTCCCACTGTCCCCACTGTTCCCACCGCTGTCCCACTGTCCCCACTATTCCCACCGCTGTCCCACTGTGCTGTCCCATTGTCCCCACTGTCCCCACCACTGTCCCACTGTCCTCACTGTCCCCACCACGGTCCCACTGTCCCCTCACCACCGTCCCCACCACCACCACCACCCCCACCACTGTCCCACTGTCCCCGATGTCCCAACCGCTGTCCCTATGTCCCCACTCTGCCCACCACTGTTCCCACTGTCCCCACCAGTGCCCCCAGCACTGTCCTACTGTCCCCACCCTTCCCACCACTGTCCCCACCACTGTCCCCACCACTCTCCCCACCACTGTCCCACTGTCCCCACTGTCTCCACCACTGTCCCACTGTCCCCACTGTTCCCACCGCTGTCCCACTGTCCCCACTATTCCCACCGCTGTCCCACTGTGCTGTCCCATTGTCCCCACTGTCCCCACCACTGTCCCACTGTCCTCACTGTCCCCACCACGGCCCCACTGTCCCCTCACCACCGTCCCCACCACCACCACCACCCCCACCACTGTCCCACTGTCCCCGATGTCCCAACCACTGTCCCTATGTCTCCACTCTTCCCACCTCTGTTCCCACTGTCCCCACCGGTGACCCAGCACTGTCCTACTGTCCCCACCCTTCCCACCACTGTCCCCACCACTGTCCCCACCACTGTCCCCACCACTCTCCCCACCACTGTCCCACTGTCCCTACTGTCTCTACCACTGTCCCACTGTCCCCACTGTTCCCACCGCTGTCCCACTGTGCTGTCCCATTGTCCCCACTGTCCCACCACTGTCCCACTGTTCCCACTGTCCCCGCCTCTGTCCCCACTGTACCACTGTCCCATTGTCCCACCGCCGTCCTCACAACCGCGATCACCGTCCCTTCACCACTGTCCCACTGTCCCCAACACTGTCGCACTGTCCCTTCACCACTGTCCCCACCACCACCGTCCCCACCACTGTCCCACTGTCCTCACTGTCCCCACCACTGTCCTCCTGTCCACACCCTTCCCACCACTGTCCCCACCACTGTCCCCACCACTGTCCCCACCACTGTCCCCACCACTGTCGCACTGTCCGCACTGTCCCCACCACTGTCCCCAACACAGACCCACTCTCCCCACTGTCCTCACTGTCCCCACCACTGTCCCACTGTCCCCACTACCCACCACCATTCCCATCCCCACCACCGTCCCAACAACTGCCTCCACCAGTCCCCCATCCAGAGTGGGGGAGGAGGGGGAGGAGGGGGAGTCGATTGCTGGCGGCGAGGAGGGAGGGTGGGGGATCGAACGAATAGTGACCCCCCCTTTTCATGATGGACCGGGGGCGGGGGGGGTCGACCCGGTAGTGACCCCCCCCCGTTTTCGAGAGGGTGGGGACGGGTTGGAACCCCCCAGTGACCTCCCCCCTCGGTTTTCTGCCAGCAGCGGCAGAACACGCTTTTTCCATTGTCAATGTCATCATCGACCTCACTATAAATATCAATATCGATCTCACTATCGGTTTCACTATCGATCTCACTATCGGCCTCAAGTCCTCGCCGCGCCCCATCCAGAGGAAGATTCCTCCCTCTCGCCCGCCCACGCACCTTCGCCTCGCCTACGACCACGACGCGAACCCGACAACGAACCTGATTTCCCGGTAGGGAGCTCTCCGTTCCACTTCGATCTCACCTCCTCACCTCCGATCCTCCTCCTCCCTCCCCTCTCCTCCCTCCTCCCCCACTCGTCCTCCCCCTCCTCCTCTGGCTCCTCCTCCATCCTCCCCCTCTTTGGGTATGACGGCTTGCCAACCTTTCTTCCACTGCGTGTTCCCCAACATGCTCGCCTGGGCATCATTTCTGGATGGGCTGGTTGGGTTTCGCGAAGCGTCTGGTCCAGGTTCGAGGCTCGAGCCCTCTGATCGCTTCTCAAAACCACCTTGGGATCTCTTGCCCAGCTCCAGAGGCCCAACAGTGAACCTCAGACATCCAAACACGTCGATATCCTCAACTTCCCTCGATCCTCGACGCAGCAGAGGGAGAAGCGGCGGACGACTCCACCCGCACTGGCCTTCGCCGCACGCGGCCACGCTGATCTTCTGGCACGCCCGCCTCTGCAGCAGGGGGGTGGGGGGGGGCCCGACCGGTGCCCAACGAGGTTTGGCCTCCTCCGCTGCCCCTGTCTCTTGTCTTTTGTTTGTTTGTCGTTTCTCTCTCTCTCTCTCGGAGGAGAGGAGGAGGAGGAGGAGGAGTCTTTTTTTGTTCTCTCTCTCTCTCTCTCTCTTTCTGCCTCCCCCCCCCCCGGCCGCGCCCGTGTCCGGCCCCCCCCGCCCCCTCTCCCCAGAAGGCACACAGACAGACAGACAGACAGACAGACAGACAGACAGACAGACAGACAGACAGACAGACAGACAGACAGACAGCCATACAGACACACACACACACAAGCACAAGCATACACGCACGCACACCCTTCAAACAACCACCTCGAGGAGGACGGTGAAGAGGAGGAGGGAGGAGGAGCAAGAGAGGGAGCCTCCGCTCCTCCTCCTCCTCCTCCTCCTCCTCCTCCTCCTCCTCCTCCTCCCCCTGCTTTCCTCTCCCTGTTTTCCTCCCCCTGCTTTCCTCCCCAATGCTCCTCTGCAATCCCACCCAAGGGGGGGGGGAGTATCTGGCTACCAACAGACATCCTCAGTCGAGATGTTTGTCGCAGCGTGGCTCCTCAAAGATCTGAGAGAGCGTGATCCACCGCCGCTTTACTCTGGAAAATTCCCCCCCCTTCCTCAGGAACCCGAGGGCTCCCCCCCCCTCCCAAAATCCCCCCCTCTCTGCCGACCCCCCCCCCTGTCCCTCCCGGCAAAACCCCCCCTCCCCCTATAACCCCTCTCCCCCCTTCCGGAAAACCAGGGGGGTCACTCCCGGTTCGAACCCCCCCTCCCTGGAAAACCAAGGGGGGTCGCTACCGGTTCGAACCCCACCCCCTTCTCTCGAAAACCAGGGGGGGGGTCACTATCGGTTCGATCCCCCCCCTCCCCCATTCCCGAAAACTGGGGGGGTCACTACCGGTTCGACGCCCCCCCCCCTCCGGAAAACCGGGGGGGTCATACCCGTTCGAACTCCTCCCCCCTCCCCCCCCGAAAACTGGGGGGCTCACTACCGGTTCGAACCCGTCCCCCCCTCCCACGCTCACCGCCAGCAAACGACTTCTGGGTCCCTACCACCGTCCGCACCACATCCCCCACTGCTGTCCCCAGCACCACTGTCTTCACCACCACTGTCCCCACTGTTCCCACCACCGTCCCGACTGTCCCCACCAGTGCCCCCACCACTGTCGCCCTGTCCCCGCTGTCCCCACCACTGTTCCCACCACGGTTCCACGCTCCCCACTTTCTCCACGGCCCCAACCACTGTCCCACTGTCCCCAGTGCCCCACTGTCCCCGCCGCTGTCCCATTGTCCCTACAAGTTTCCCACTGTACCTCTGTCCCACTGTTCCACCGCCGTCCTCGCCACCGCCCTCACCACTGTCTTCACCACCGCTGTACCCTCCACTGTCCCACTGTTTCCACCACATTCCCACTGTCCCTACACCACTGTCCCCACCACCACCGTCCCCACCACTGTCCCACTGTCCCCACGGTTCCCACCATTGTCCCCGCTGTCCCCACCAGTGCCCCCACCAGTGTCTCACTGTCCCCACTCTCCCCACCGTTGTCCCACCACGGTCCCACTCTGCTCACTTTCCCCACGGTCCCCACCACTGTCCCACTGTCCCCACTGTACCCACCACTGTTGCACTTTCCCCGCCGCTGTCCCACTGTGCTGTCCCACCGTCCCCACTGTCCCCATCACTGTCCCACTGTCCCCACTGTCCCCACCACTTTCCCCACTGTA